CCAACAGACCCTCTGCTGCTCTCTGGGCTCTGCAATAAGCACTGCCCAGCCTCTGAACGGACTTTTAACTTCTGGCCCACAGACCTCCACAGTCGGTGATGGCGGACACAGAGAACAAAGAGGTGGCCAGGATCACATTTGTCTTTGAGACCATCTGTTCTGTGAACTGTGAGCTCTACTTCATGGTGGTATGTTTTCCTTTCTTTGTTTGTGATGGGGTTCCCAGAAAGGGAGGGTTGGCCTCCTCGGCCCCATTGGTGCATCAACATAACTGATACCCCTGCTCATAGTGATTTCACAGGGGAGGGGCCCAGACTGCCCGTCAGGGGCTTCCCCGTTTAACATGGATCTGGCCAACTGTGATGGCCCCTGGGATGGCAGATGGCCCCTGGGTGGCTCTTCCCCAGCAGCCACCCAGCCATCGCGCCTTCTTCACTGTCTGTCTTGGGTTCAGGGTGTGAATTCTAGGGCCAACACTCCCGTGGAGACGTGGAAAGGCTCTAAAGGCAAGCAGTCCTTCACCTACATCGTTGAGAAGAACGCTACCGTGAGCTTCACCTGGGCCTTCCAGAGGACCACTTTCCACGAGATCGTAAGCGCCTCCCCTTCTTCAGACCCCTGGCTCCCAGAGAGACCTCTGAACCCAGCAGGATCCTTAGCATTAGTTTGAGTGGGAGTGGGAGGGTCTGACCCCAAGGATTAGAAGGATCTTAAGGGGTCAAGCCAAGAACTGCCTATTCCAGGCCCCTGAGAAGCATCGAGCCTTGTCCAAATGACTCACCTTGTCCCCTCAGCAGCCCTGCCCTGAGGACAAGTGTGGTGCCTCATCTGTACATCCTGTTCATCCCTGTTGTTGTTTTTAATAATAATAACTCTGGTTTTATTTTTTTTACTCAATTTAATGCAAATTAATTGCAGGAAACTTAGAAGGTAAAAAGAAGAGAGAGAGAGAGAGAGAGAGAGAGAGAGAGAGAGAGAGAGAGAGAGAGAGATATCACCTATAATCCTACTACCCAGAGAAAACCCAGTTAACAGCTAAGTACCTCCTATCCAGGAGATATTCTACAAATACTTTTTTTTCCTTTCACAGATAAAGGACCTGCCTTTTTTCTTTCTTTTTAAAAATTTGATTTTAGAGAGAGAGGAAGGGAGAGGGTGAGAGAGAGAGAGAAACATCCATGTGAGAGAGAAAACATCAATCAGTTGTTTCCCACACACGCCCCAACCGGGGACTAAACCTGGGTATATGCCCTGACTGGGAATCAAACCCGTGACCCTCTGTGCACGGGATGCTATTCCAATGAACTGAGCCACACTGGCCATGGGCAAGACCCGCTTTTTTTCATATAACAATCTCTACTGCATATTTCCCCCATAGCACTTAATATTTTTAGACATCATTTTTAAATGGTTCAGATTTGCTTTAAAAAATGACACAAAATGTACATAAAGGAAGAAGCTGCTTATCAGACTTTTCTCAAGTATTACAGATACAAAGATTAAGCAGTAATTTACTATTTCCGGAGGACTCAATTGCTGCTGGTGTCTCAGGCCTCTGCCCTCTCTCTTGTTTCCTTGTTTCCAGGGCAGAAAGTACACCAACGATATCGCCAAGATCTATTCCATCAATGTCACCAATGCCATGAATGGGGTGGCCTCCTACTGTCGGCCCTGCGCCCTGGAAGCCTCTGACATGGGCTCCTCCTGTACCTCCTGTCCTGCTGGCTACTACATTAACCGGGATTCAGGAACCTGCCACTCCTGCCCCCCTAACACCATCCTGAAAGCCCACCAGCCCTATGGAGTCCAGGCCTGCAAGCCCTGTGGCTCAGGGACCCAGAGCAACAAGGTGCCAGCAGTGTGACGTGCATCCTCACCTCAGCCTCAGAGGGTGCCAGGTCCTAGATGGGGTTCTGGAGGGGCTGATCCCCAAGTGTTCCCCATAGCATACTCCCAGGGTGGAGTCCCGGAGGACACCCATCCAGGCTGTGACCATGGATGGCACGTTCTTACCTGTAGAAGTTGGTTGTCAGGGGCTAGGCCTCAGTCGTGGACAAGCCTCATCTTCAAGAGATGGGTAAGGGAGATCTGTGACCGTCTGGTCCCGAGGGTTATTTGGCATCTGGGCAGTGGCCTGAAGGGAAGAAACAGTGGGACCTGTGGTTCAAATTCAGACCTACTTCACTCCAACCTCTTATCATGGGAATCTGCCCCCTCTCCTTTGGGAAGGTAACCCACCTTTGCTGGGACATACGGTTAATTGGCATTGCTGTCTTCTATCCAAGTGGTTTCTTATAAAGCAGTGCTGTCTGAATCTAGGAAAGTACTCTGGCTAAAAGCTCTTAAATATTCATTAATGCTTTTAAGTGAATTTGTGTTTTACTGACCACAACCACATGGGCATACATCTGTAAGGCATTATGTATAGTCTGAAAACGTTGCTCAGTTTAGCTGTGCAGTAAGTGCAACATTCTGCAGATCCTGGCAGCGTCTTTGGGGCTTCCTGGACTTTAGCCACACACTTGTTCTCCGAGGGCTCCCTCTGCTGCCAAGGGAGGGAATGACAGTTGTGTAAGGCAGCGGCTGAATGAGGACCCTAAAACGGAGTAAGGAAGGGGTTTATGGGGAATAAAGCCTCCTTTGAAGTTCAGTTTCCTACAGAGACCCTGTGAAAGAGGAATTAGGGTTCAATTAGTTTAAAATGGGGGGAGGGACAAGGCTTGTAGTTTCTCTCCTGCCATCCTGGACTCCCTTCTTCGAGTTAGCACCTCGTTTGTTGTCTTCTGCTTGAAAGTAAGAACAGCCGTCTTGTGCCTTGAGAGTTCTATAATCTAAGCATAGGGGCAAAGCTATGGAATCTGACCCAACTACTTACTAGAAAACAACAGGTTTAGGTTCGTACATCATACATGTGCTAATGATTGAATGGCAAGATGTACATAAGCCCCACCAGCCACTGCTTCACTTCTTCTAGTGCTCACCTGCACTCCCTGCTGCTGCTTCTACCCACGTGGGCTGCACCGGGCTGGGTCTCTGCTGTGGTCCCCTCAAAGGCCCTGCCGCAGCCGGCTGACAACCTCTTTCCCCTCAGATCCACACTGTGTGCTACAACGACTGCACCTTCTCAGTCAGCTCTGGGAGCCGGTCGTTAGACTACAACTTCTCGGCTCTGGCAAACCCCGTCTCTCTGGCTGGAGGGCCAAGCTTCACTTCCAAAGGGCTGAAATATTTCCATCACTTCACCTTCAGTCTCTGTGGAAACCAGGTAAGGTGTGCGAGAGTCGATGGTGTGAGAACTGAGAGGGGTTACCAGTGGACCGGAGGCCAGAGAAGGACACAGAAGAAAAGCTAGCAAACCTTCAGGCAGGAGATTGAGGAGATGAATGGCTTTCAAATGATTACTCCTCTCTTTGAGGCCTCCCTCCTTTAAAATTAAGTCATTTGGATTATAAAAATTTAGGAAAATAAAAGTGTTTTAAATAAGTTGTCCATTTACTCCTCCCTGACCTTCATTCCCTCACAAGTATATAAAAACTATGCAGGAGAAAGAGAGAGAGAGATAGAAACATCAATGATGAGAGAGAATCATTGATTGGCTGCCTCCTGCATGCCCCACACTTGGGATTGAGCCCACAACCCGGGCATATGCCCTTGACCGGGATCAAACCCGGAACCCTTCCGTCTGCAGGCCAACGCTCTCTCCTGTGAGCCAAACCGGCTAGGGCTCTCTTAATGATTTTTTAAAAAACGGAATAGGTTCCACTTGGTCCTAAGATGGCCTATCTCAAGGCAGAGAAGGGGTTAGGGATGGGGTCTGTTTTAACTCCTGGGAGCTGCTGTCTGGGAAGTGCTTCAGAGACCAGCATGGTGGAATCACTGCACCAAGGGAGACACAGAGAAGGAATGTGACCCAGGCCAGATGTTCAAAAACCTTCATGGGGTCAGTCACATCTTTCAGTATCTGTCTAGAAAACGGACTATGATAAGGAAGGCCCTTAATTAATAGATTAGATCTCCCAATCAGTTGCCACCATTACAACCGTGCTCATATAGGGTCCCCACAGGACTCCAACGAAACAAAAAGACTGGGATCCCCTGGGCCAGAGTTCCAGAAACTAGGACACCTAGGCCTTATTTTTAGCTTTTTTTTTTTAAGCTCCTTATAATTAGATCTGGGATGAATCATTCCACTGCAACATACCATTAGAAGACTAAAAATTTTAGACATTAAAAAAAAATGTCCCCATTCCCTTTGAAAGCTCTGTGACCATTCTCTCCTTCCTATTTCTTCATCCCCACCCCCCCTGCCCAGGGTAAGAAAATGGCTGTGTGCACTGAGAATGTCACTGACCTCCGGATTCCTGAGGGCGAGTCAGGTTTCTCCAAATCCATCACGGCCTACGTCTGCCAGGCGCTCATCATTCCTCCAGAGGTGACAGGCTACAAGGCTGGAGTGTCCTCGCAGCCTGTCAGCCTCGCTGATCGGCTTGTCGGTGAGTAGCCCAGCTGCTCCAGCCTGTTTGAGTGTGTATGCCTGTAGGAGAGAGAGAGGCTACCAGGCTCCGAGGTAAGGGCTCCCAAGGAGGGGCCCAACCTCTGACCTGTTTCCTATTCATCCTGGGGTGCCAAGTGCCCCAGGGGCTTCTGACAAACCTGCAGTTCACCCTTTCATGAGCCACTAGGGGATGTGATGAGATGAAGGAAGATTGGACGTTGATGGGTATTGAAATAATTGAAGTGGCTGCCAGTGAGAACTAATCAGGAGCTCTGATTTGGCAGAGGTGACAACATATATGACTGTGGATGGAATCACCTCTCCGGCTGAACTTTTCCACCCAGAATCCTTGGGAATACCGGACGTGATCTTCTTTTATAGGTGACGATGGGAGGCCAGACTAATGCAAGTGAAACTTAGGGCTCCTCCACACTTTCTGTTGCATGCACCACCCCTTCTAGCCATTTAATACTTATCGAGCCAGACCATGCCCAAGGTCTAACAGGTCTGCCTAGCAATGATAGCTAAAGGCTGGGAGTCCCCTGATCCCAGCTTCCTGGGTATTCCTGGGCAGGTCTGTCTTAGAGACAAGGAGTAACATTGGATGGTCTGTAGACTTCTCTTCTCACCTAAGGACACTCAGTGCTATGCACACACTGACCTTTCCTAGGCCAGCGCATTTCCCCTGGACCACATCTTCTTGATCCCTACTTACTCCAAGTAAACCAAGGGCTGTGCACTCCCTGTGTGGCAGGCTACAGCCCAAGTCCTGACTTCCCCAGCAAGGGACCTGCTCCATGTTGACTTCACTTAGTGGCTCTCCAGTGGCACAAATGAGTGACTCATTTCCCCCATGGGGGCTGGCTTTCACTGCAGGTCCAATGAGGTGACTCAGTCCTGCAGTTCTGGGAGGGCCACCACCATCCGAGTCAGATGCAGTCCACTGAAGCCTGCCCCGGGAAGTCTGTCCCTGCCCAGGTAAACGGGTAACAAAGTCGCCCTTCCTTGGACTTGTTCCATCCTAAGAGGCAGAGATTACCAAAAAAGAGCAAACAAGAAAACAGTCGGAGAGCCATTATTGGGCTCTTGAGAACATGGTTGTGCTCCAAACCCTCCATCTTCAGATGTTGAGAAAGGAGCAGAGGGAAGAGTCAAAGCTGCCTTCACATTCCCAGACGGTTATGGGAGCAGTTGCATAGCAAAGTGGCAAACTGCTGGGGCTGAGAGCAGATGTGATTCATCTCCTCTGCTCGCAAGCCCTGTTGTCGTGGATACATTTCTCCTCTTCTGTAGGCTTCTTCTCCCTTATTCATAACATGGGGATAATAAGAAGTTCCCTCAGAGGGTCCTTGTGAGAATGAAATAAGACATTGAGACTGGAGGACTTCTCAGGGTGCCTGGCGTGTACTTGCTACAATTAGGATTAATAAGGGTTTAGGGCAGCGGTTCTCAACCTGTGGGTCGCGACCCCTTTGGCGGTCGAACGACCCTTTCACAGGGGTCACCTAAGACCATCCTGCATATCAGATATTTACATGACGATTCATAACAGTAGCAACATTACAGTTATGAAGTAGCAACGAAAATAATTTCATGGTTGGGTCACAACATGAGGAACTGTATTTAAAGGGCCAGAAGGTTGAGAACCACTGGTTTAGGGAATCCTAGAAATCCCTCCATAACTAAAAGATCCAATTCTGAGTTTAAGAGCTGAGTGCAGTAAATCGAGAATTCCCAAACTAATTTGATTACAGCACCCCTCATCTCCGCCCCCACCCCCCACCTTCTTTTTCAAGTCACACCAACTAACATCTCAAGGGGAACTAGTGCCTTGAGGGAGACCGTTTGGGAAACGCTGCTCCTAAACAACTGACCAGGGAGATGGGGAACAAAACAGGACATTTAACCCAACCATGTAAGATCCCTGTTCTTGTTGTCAACATCACAGGAAAGGAACTAAATATCCATGACCTAAAGTCCATCCTTGACCCCCACCGCCAGGAAGCTGCATCAAAGTGGCTTTTGAAAAATGTCATACGTCCACCGGGAGAACAGGAGCCTCTGAGGGGTTGGTTGGGCAGCATGTTAGAGCTCAGACAGTGTACACTGGCTCTCATCTGATGTCAGCAGAAACGCACAGGGGGGGAGCCCAGTGGAGGTCGGGGAGGCATCTTGTCATCAGGGAAATTAGAGAGCAAAACCTGAGTTAAGGCCTAGTTGGAAGGATCCTGGTGAGGCTAACAGGTTGGTAAGGAGATGGACCAGGCGAGCTCTGCGATGATAGGACTCCAAACAGATTTTCTCCACTGATGCAGCGAGTGAGCTCAAGTCTCCTCTTTGCTTTCTAGCACGTGCTCTGATGGGACCTGTGATGGCTGTACCTTCCACTTCCTGTGGGAGAGCGCAGCCGCTTGTCCGCTCTGCTCGGCCGATGACTACCACGCTATCGTCAGCAGCTGCGTGGCTGGGATCCAGGTAGGTTTCTCTGCTTGGAGAGTTCCCAGGAGAGAAGGGAATGTGATATCTGAGTTGCTTGTTTTTCTCCCCAACAGAAGACTACCTATGTGTGGCGAGAACCAAAGCTATGCGTGGGCGGCGACTCTCTGCCTGAGCAGAGAATCACCATCTGCAAAACTATAGATTTCTGGCTGAAAGTGGGCATCTCTGCGGGCACCTGCACTGCCATCCTGCTCACCGTCTTGACCTGCTACTTTTGGAAAAAGAATCAAAAGTACATGATGATGGGTATTGGAGTTTGGGGATGGACAAGGTTGGGAGGAGATCATCTCAGAGAGTAAATTCATGGAGCTTTTTTCTGGAGTCAGCCACAGACCCCGTGACCCCGTGCCACTTATTTCGGGTATGCCTTGGTTGTCCTGACTCCTGAAGAGGGATGGTACTACATGGCAGTCTATAAATAGCTGTTAGAGTCTCCAAAGCAAAGCAAAGAGCATCCTTAATTTGTTGTTAATAATAATAAAAGTGACTTTACAATTCCAATATTTCTATTAAGCTTTTAGATCAAAGAAACAGCCAGTCTTAAGGAAAAAAGGTCGCTGACCTGGGAGCCAAGATTGCTGCTTAGCCATATGCCCAGCCTAACACTGCTTTCTAGGCTCGAGTTTCCTTACCCATGGAATGGGAAGATCTGTTCACAGCCCATCTTCTCTCCTGTTTCTGCTTATTCCTCATTTTGGTGTCTTGTCTTTCCCTTTCCCGTTTCACAGACTAGAGTACAAGTACTCCAAGCTGGTGATGAACGCTTCCCTCAAGGACTACGACCTGCCAGCAGCCGACAGCTGCGCCATCATGGAAGGCGAGGACGTGGAGGATGACCTCCTCTATACCAGCAAGAAGACCCTCTTTGGGAAGATCAAATCATTTACCTCCAAGGTAGGGAGCCTGGCCAGTGCACTGAGGTCAGCCTGGAGGGCTGGAAAAGACACCAGTCCAAGGGCGCTGAATGGCCCCACGTTGTTCCGGGACCACTGCTTTGCTCCCCACCTGCCACACTCTTCTGTCCCCCGACCCTGAAAATCCTGGCTTCTGCCTTCTGTATTTTCATACCAATACTCTTTTCCCTGGGGCCCAAGGCTGCTCTTGACCAGGCTCCTTCTCTCCCAACTCCAGTTGATGAACTGTTTGGGCCTTTCAACTTCCAGGAGGAGTAGTGAACCATCCATGTTGTAAGAATCATTTCCCCCCTTTCTTTTCTTTTGGAAGGAGGGGAAGAGGTGATCTCTAGATCAACTTCAGCTAGAAGTCAGGCTCTCCTTTGGCCAGTGGTGGGTGCTGTTCCCCAGACGTTTGGCCCTGGCCCCCTGGGGGCTGAGTCATAGCTAAGTCTAAGCTGCTCAGCACTGAGCAATTCTGACCTGGGAGCGTTGGTTTTGCGTGGGTGGGTGAGCGAGTTTGAAGCTCATTTAATACAAGTCAGACAGCACTGTCACTGGGCGTGAGGCCAGCAGTGAGCATCCAAGCATCTCCTCCAGGGCCACAGCCCTCTGCAGCCCCACTCGGCCAGTACCCACACCTCACTGGTGCCCTGAACCAACTCATCCAAACAGGTGTGGGCAGGGAGGGTGGTAAGACAGTAGGAGAGGACAGGAAGGATGGGTGTTTAGACAGCCGAATCTCATATCCTTTGCACTGACCTACCAGGATGGCTCCGTGGCCTTCTTAGACCTTGATTTTTTAATTTATTTTTTATTGGTGGGAGAACAATTTACCTTGGGATGCTTGAGTCTTTCTGGAACTTCGACAAAGATGCAAAGCAGAGGGTTTTAAAGATTTTTCTTATTCTCTGGCTAACTGAAGGGAGCAAGAATAGAGGGTAGCTTATGTCTCTGTTTCCACAAAGCCACTGGAAGCAGGAGTTCCCTAAGGGTTCCTTCTGTCACCTATTTTCCATTTCTCTCCTTTGTTCCCCCAACTTGCCCCTGTGCAGCAGCCAGCTCCTGTCACCATCTCTCTTTCAGAGGACTCCTGATGGATTTGACTCGGTGCCACTGAAGACATCCTCAGGAGGCCCAGACATGGACCTGTGAGAGGCACTGCCCTGCCTCTCCTGCCTCCTCACCTTGGCACACCACCTTTCGAGCCTGTGGCGATTTGGTGCCAGCTTCCTGCAACACCTACTGCTGGAAATCTCTTCATTGTGGCCTTATCAGAAGTTTGAACTTTAGATCTTTTGTGTGTTTTTTACAGAGTATCCAAACTCTCCTTTATGCTTGCCTCAAACCTGCCAAATACACCCAACTTTGTATATTACTCCCTTGCTTGCATCTTGTTTCCCAAAATGGTCCAGCCATCAGAGCCATAGCTTCACCTGCTCATAACTCTTACAGCCCTAGAATGAAAATAGTCCCCTTTTCTTAAGTATAGAACCTATTCCTCTGTCCTCTCATTTAAGGGCGGAAGCAGCTGGGAATTTCCCTGATCATGTGCCCTCGCTCTTGATCTCTTTAGGAGAGAGGCTGGGTGAGAGGGTATTGGTGTCCCGGGTGCACCATCTTCATGGTGGCCTGGATTCATCTCTTCTGGGTAAATAGCTCCCACTGAGGGTAATGGATAGGCTGAGGGATGGGAGAGTAAGGCCTGGGTAAGAAGGCTTGATAAGCACAAAGAGAGGCAATAAGGAAGGTTTGGTTTTGTTGTTTGTTTTTTTTAAATATATTTTATTGATTTTTTTTACAGAGAGGAAGAGAGAGGGATAGAGAGTTAGAAACATTGATGAGAGAGAAACATCAATCAGCTGCCTCCTGCAAACCCCCCACCAGGGATGTGCCCGCAACCAAGGCACATACCCTTGGCCGAAATCGAACCTGGGACCTTTCAGTCCGCAGGCCGACGCTCTATCCACTGAGCCAAACCGGTTAGGGCTGGTTTTGTTCTTTAAACTAGGTACTTCCTTCTCTTTTCGTAAGTAAGAGAGAAATATTCTCACTGGAGCCAAAGGAAACAGTTCACTGAGAAAATGCCCAAGGCCCTGGTGGATCTACTCCCCCCACTTTTTTTTTTAATCTCCCACTATCTCCCTATGACACTAAAGAAAACCAGGTAAGCCCCAAACCCCGATGTCCTACTTCTTTTTACCCGCAGAGATGACAAACCCTGTCAGTGAGGACAATTCCCCATCCCTGAGTGCCCCGTTCCTCGAGGCCTGGGCCATATCATGCTACAGGGGTATCATATTTTGAAAGAACATAAGGAGGCCATGGTTTTAACAGGGCCATACTGGGGGATCCAGCCCACAATGGGATGGACCTGAGGTGGTGACACTGGCTTCTAAGTGTAATTCTCCTTCTCAGCCAGAGTAAGTAACTTCTAGGCTGGCCAGAAAAGGAACTGACTCCCAGGCCCCAAACTCAGCAGCAGAACCAGATCAGTGTCTAAGGAGGAAAAACAAAGGGAGGTGAACTAGGAGTTCACCCAACTGGGACACTTCACACTTTCAAGCCCCTGTCCTGCCTTTTTCCTGTTCTCATCTTCTTTGTGTGCCAACCCACTAAAAAGACTTCTGGCCCCGATTCCTGGCAGCATCCCTTCTGAAAGGTGAGTAAAGCGAGGGTCCTCAGTGGCCCTTTGCTTCACTCTTACGCCACCTGTAATGGATGAACTTTAACTAGGATGGTAAATCCAGAGCAAGGGCTTAAGTTCCCTTTTCCTTTCTACCACTGACAATTCTCCCTCCATCACTGTCAGGCTAGAATGACCATCCCTTGGTCAAGAGCCCAGATGCCCATGGCCTGTGCCTGTCTCCCTTCTTGAGTGGTCATTGGTGACCAGATGGTAGGAACAGGATGCAGGTGGCATTTCTAAGTGGTCTGTCTGCCACAAAATGGTTTGCTGGTCTTCATTAGCCATGCTGTCCCAGAAATAGTCTTATATAAGGGTCCGCGAGAGCTGGAGCCCTGCGTGACTCTGGCAAACAACAGCATCACTGAAGGGAGGCAGCCCCTTTGACTCAACACACCTAGAAGCTTTTCTTCGGGTATCCAAATTCTCCCCCTCTTGTGGGAGTCCGGCTCGCAGACACTGCGGCCTGCTTGAAATTTCTCCAAAAGGATGCAGACAGCCAGCTTCTGAGCTCCAGCCCCAGGTTTTCTGCAGCCTCAGCAACACCCTGGACATCCGCTTGCCCATTGAATAACGTGCTTTTGTGACAGAGGCCACAGGATATGCTTAGAGTATTCTAGAAGCTGTAGGACAAAGTACATACCCCACTGACTTCTTTATTCTGACATCTTGAAACTGAGTGTCCCCAGGGCAACCTCAAACCCCACTGATGTAGTCATAGTACTTTAAGGATCTCCTTTACACCATCCCTCAGTGTACTGACTCCTGTGGATCTCCCCTGTGTCCTGCCAGGAACGCCTGAGTTATGCTATGGGGTCTACCTGTAGCTCCCCTGGCAACTTAGACACATGGTAGATACTTTTTAATAGCTCTTTGGAGCTGTAATTCAAATATCACACAATTCTCTCAATTAAAATGCACAATTCAATGGATGTTAGTGTACTCACAGAATTGTGTGTGCATCACCACAATCAACTTTAGAATAGACACATGTTAGACGGTATATGGGAAAAGCCTTATGCCTTTAAGCTAAGGCTATAGTGGTTTGTATAAGCTATTGTGGGGAGGGAGTGTGGGCTCAGCAGATAAAATATTTAAATCCTATTTGGTAACCTAAAGTCCTAGAACACACAAGTAACTCTCATCACATAGATGTGACCTGTATTTGGTTGGGAAAACAAATGAAGACTGTGGCATAGTCAAAGACCAGGGGATTTCTTATGCCAGCAAAACCTTTTTTTATTTATTTTTTGTCTGGCTCTACATTAAAGATATGACTGATTATATTTATACAACAGAAACTTTGTAACGAGTTTTTCAGCTTTGTGAAACCAAATGTTTTTGCGTTATCAAGACTGGATGGGTTTCCTTTTTTACTCTGTATTTCAAGAGTTTGTAGTTTATTAGGGGATGGATATTGCATGTCACATTTTTGTGTGAAAATAAAAACATACCTTTCAAGTTGTTTTTCTTGAACATGGGCTGGATGGCTTGACGGGCGAGTGGGAACTGGTAAATGTCCTTGAATCTTAAACTGCAGAAGAGAAGGGTTCTGGATCCTTCAGAGAAAAGGGCATCCTCTGAAGCAACACGCCCTGGGCTAGCAGCCGCTTACACCTGTTGAGGAGTCAGCCATCAACCAAAGCCTCAGTTTCCACCATATAAATGCATTTAATGATGCCTCACCTCCCAAGATTGAGTGAAGTCCAAACAAGAGGTCACATCAAACAGTTGGCCTGTCAGTTCTCTTCCCTTCCAGCTGAGCTTTCTCTCGGGTGGCACTGAGGCCGGCCATACAACAAAGTGTCCACAAATACAAGTTCAATGAGCTTGTTTGGGCCTGAGGTGGATTATTATGGACTAGATAAAATCCTAGAGGGAGTCAGGAACCATTTCCCAGGAGAGCTGGGTTTTCCTGTGTCTGTTTCTCCTGCATTCTAGCTGAGGGCACTTAATCTCCTCAAAAGGACTTCTTCAGCTGGTTGGTTGTGAGCCACATCTGTTTTGACTGAGTGGTACCTGGGTTGTACTGGTGGTTAAATACTTTAAATATAATCCCTGCTTATAGGGTAAAGTTGTAAGCCAGGGTGATATTTACCTTCCTCTTAAAAAGGAAAGTAGAAAAGGCATCTGTGTGTCAAGCCTGAACTAAGTGCCCACCTAGTTCTCAGAATAGCCCTTAACGGCGGGTACTATTCCCATTCTAACAGATGAACTGCACCTCCAATGGGGTTAGTCGTGTGGCATAGAAGGTCCCCAGCAGCCGACGCTTACACTCTAACCACACTGAACTTTAGACTGTCACTCAGTCATAAGCTGTTTCACACCTCCCTGCCTGGCGTATGTCTTTGTTCCTCCCCTTCCTTTTCACCTGATAGACATCACCCCGTCCTCAAAGTCACCCACTGTGAAACCTTTTCTGGCTCACCCACTGGGGATACAATAGGGAAGAAACAATTATATGGGAAAAGTGCAGTTAATTTTTATTAATTCAACCATATACTGTGCAGTGTCCCAATGCATCAAACAGACATGACCCAACTTGAAACTGTGTGTGTGTGTGTGTGTGTGTGTGTTTTTTTTGT